TTTCAGCTATCCTGTGGGCGACGTATGGGCGATAGTTGCGTGCGCCGTTTTTCACCCAAGTGAGCACGGTTCTGCTGTCTGTCCAAAAGAATTTTGCATCCGGTTTCTCGTCGTGTTCCTCTATGACTGCCGTAGCCATCCTGCTCCCCATGGCGGCCGCCTGTAGTTCCAGCCGCGGTATGGACGTGAGCTTGAGCGGTGCGACTCTCGCCTTTCCGACTATGAGCGATAAGGTCGCTTTTCCCTCGGCGTCGACCATCCTCCAGTAGAGTGCGGCTGCGTAAGCGGTTTCGCTCGCGTCGACGAATACGTGTAGCTCTCGACGCGTGGCGCGGCTGTAGCCGATGTGGTGGCGCGGTATCGCTATCTTCTTTAACGATTTCAGGTGCTGTAGCCACTCTTCCCATTGCTGTGCCAAATCGGTATCTATGACGTCATCCCATCCAGTGCCTCGGCGCCACGTTTCTTGTAGTATCTGTTTCGCTCGAATGGTGATCGGTGAGGCGAGGCCGAGCGGGTCGAATAGTGACATGATGATCTTGAGCATCTCGCGTTTGGTGGGCGTGGCTTCTTCCTTAGGCAGCCGAGTTGAGTCGAGATTGAAACTCAGACTGTCTGTGTTTGGATTCCACAGTGTACCGAGTACGAGAGACGTGTACCCCCCGTCGTGTAACCTAACCGTTCTCTGTGGTTCTGTGGTGTCGCTAGTGTCGAGTGCTTGAAGTACGCGTCGCGAGTTCGATTTCCATTTTCTTAACTCGTAATGGGCTTCTTTTTGTATCTTCTTTACGTCGCTCGCTATTTGTATGGCTTCCTTCTCTGTGTCGAAGCTTTGCAGATAATCATCAACGTAGTGGTTTTTGATTATTGCTCTGTGCGCCGCCGGGTGCGTATCTTGGTACTTGTCGGCGTTTCTGTTCTTTACGTAGATGGCTGTTGCGGGCGATGACGTAGCTCCGAATATAAGCGATGTCATGCGGTACTGTTGCGGCTGTGTGTCGCCTCGCTCTTCGCCTCTCCACAGGTAGCGAAGTGCATCTCTGTCTTGTTCCCTTATCTTTACTTGCATGAACATTTCCGCTATGTCTGCAGTGACTGCTATTTGATGCTGTCTGAATCGCATCAGTACGCCGGGTAGAGACTGCAGCAGATCGGGCCCGGTGAGGAGGTAGTCGTTTAGGCACACTCCTCTCGTCTTGGCGGCCGCGTCGTGTACAACTCGTACTTTGTCCGGTTTCATCGGGTGGAGTACGGCGAAGTGCGGTAGATACCAAGTGCGGTTTCTTGTCGGCTGTGCTGGAGCAGGCTCGGCGTACCCCTTCTTCACCAGCGCGTTCATTTGTTCGGTGTATTTTTCTTTCAGCTGTGGGTTTCTGTCTATTTTCTTTTCTATGTTGAGAAGTCTGCTGTGTGCGTTTTCATAATTGAGCGGCATCGATGAGTCTGTCTGTTTCCATAGCAACGCCGTCTCGTAGTGTCCGTCTTCTCTCTGTTGCGTGTTTTTCTGTAACGTGTCGAGCGCGCGTTGTTCCTCGCTGTTTCGTGGCTGTTTCGGTGCGATGGTGAGGGAGTCGATTGCGAAGTACTGTCTTAGTTGCTCGTTCATGTCTGCGTCTGCATCGGTGACGTGGTTGACGTAGTTGACGTGTTGACCCAGAGTGCGCGTGTGTGCACCGTGTAGCACCCAGCCGAGTGGTGTGCGGGATGCTACCGGTTGTCTTCGTCTTCCGCGCCGTACTTCTTTGGCCAATAGCAAATGCCAATTGTCTTGTCCGATGAGCAGCTTTGGGACTGCATTTCTGTACGTCAGTCTCTTCTGTATGTCGAGCAGGTGCTGGCATCCTCTCATATCTTCATCTGTTATCTGTTGCGCCGAAAGCTTGAGGTTGTTGAGCGTTCGTGCTTGTATGCTGTAGCTGTGGGTTGATCCGCGGAGTGTAACTGTGACTCGCTTGGACTCGTGGGCTTCTACTTCTGTGTCTCCGATCGCTTCTATATGAAGTGGGTCGACGGGTCCCTCGGCGCCGGCTTGTCTTGCTATTTCGCTGTCTATCAATGTTACTGTGGAGCCATCGTCGAGGAGTGCGTACGTGTTCACGTCGCCCTTTGGCCCGGAGATGCATACCGGGACGATCTTGAGATAAGCTTGCGATTTCGTCGGTGCCCATGTCGAAGTGACGACTTCTGTTTTCTCTTCGTTTTCTTTCTTGCGGTTGAAATGCAGTAGGTAGTGGTGCAGTCTGTCGCAGCCGTCGACGTTGCATTGTTTGCGCTTGCAAGTGTGCTTGGTAGCGCGTGGTCTCAGGCATCTGTAGCACAACGCCTTCGTTTTCGCTAACTGCCATCTAGCGTCGGAGTCCGCTTCTTTGAACTTGTCGCATTTCGTAATTGAATGCTCTGTCTTCTCGCATACTGGACATCGTTGCTCTGGCTTCTGTTCTTCTGTGGCGTATGTTCGCTGAGCCGGTCTTCTCTGAGCTTGCGTTTCGTCGCCGTCTGTGGCGTATGTTCGCTGAGCCGGTCTTCTCTGAGCTTGCGTTTCGTATACTGTGCGCTTGAAGTCTTCGGGCTGTGCGTATGGACCGCACCTGTCTGCTTGGCGTCGTAGGAATCTTGCGAGTTTCAGTAGGTCTGCTTCTTCTGTCTGGTTTTCCGCGGCGAAGTCGAACCATCTGTAGCGTAGCGCAGGCGTGAGCTTCTCTATGGTTTGCTTGGTGACTTCCGGGTTGTATAAGTAGTAGACCCTCTGTAGAGCTTGCAATGTTGCTATGATGTTGCCTACTCTGGTGGCGAAGATGCAGAGTTCCTTCGGTGAGTCTGTTGGCCGTTGGAGGCTTCGTAGTCGTTCCAGTTCGGCGAGTGCGATTGCGTCGGGTCGGCCGAAACGGGATTCCAACGTCTTCATTATTTCTTCTGTTTTCGCGTTGTACATGAGTAGACTTTCCACGGCTTCTTTGGCTGTTCCTCGTAGGCTTCTGCGTAGTCTTGCGAGGTTTTCATATTCGCTGTGCATGCTGGCTGTTTCTGTGTAGGCGGCTTTGAATGAAAGCCATTCTTGATAGGTTCCGCTGTAGCTCGGTAGCTCTTGTATGGAGCGTGGTGCCATCTGTTGACCGGATCTTGCGGCGAGTGCGATCGCGGATGCGAGCTCCGAGATGTTTATCTGTTGCTGTGTAGGCTTTGCGATGGCCATGGTTTCTTCTCCCGCCGGTATTGGAAGCGGGGCTTGATGCGTAGACTGTTGCTCGACGAAGCTCTGTTGCTGTAGCGTGGCTTCGTGCGGCTTTTCGGCGATTGCGATCTGTGACGTGCTGTGGTTCAACCAGTTTGTGACTCGATGCGTCGTTTCCTGTCGAGCTGTGATTGTGCCTTCATCGGAGTCCGGTTCTGAGTCGCTGTTGGCTTCGTCTTCTAATGCGTTGACTCTGGCGGCGGCGTATTCCATTTGCAGACGGAGTAGCTCTTCTTTTGCCTTCTGCAGCCGTTGCGAACGACGAGATTTGACGCTCTTGCTCTTCTGTACTGTGGGGTGACCTTCGGTAGCCTGTTCTGTCTGTGGTGCTTCGGTCGTTGAAGAGAAGACTGTCTGATCCCAGGTGTTCGTTTCGGTTTCCGTCGCGGCGGTGTTTCTCGTAGCCGTCGTCGCTGTAGCAGTTGGTTGTGAAGCCGGTGTTGTAGCGGTCGGTTGCGGAGCTGTTTCTGTGACGGTCGGTTGCGGAGCTGTTTCCGGCAGCGGAGTGGTGCCAGATCTTGACCGTGTGATGGGCATCTTGAAGCTTCTGTGATATCCGGCAATGCGAAGGACCAAATGTTTCGAACGGCGTCTGTGGCGCTCTTCCCTGTAACCGTTCGAAACGGTGCGGTGGGGTGCGGATGCCTATGGGGCTGGCAGCTTCAATGAAATCCCTTTTCTTAGCTTCAGTGCGCTTGTTGCTTGTTTGCATGTGCAGTGGTGTATTGATGAAAGAGGTCGAGGCTATTCTGGTCACTACCTATGTAGGCCACAAGTGTTCGCACTTAGCGCTATATTACTGCGCTAGTGCGCCTATCGGAGCAATGTGAGAGGGACAGCCTATAATGCTGTCTCTCTCACGGTGCTATTTCTATTCTCGCTTTGTGCGACGTTATAGCGGCCGTGGGCCTATCCTAGCGCTGTGCGAGAGAGACTGTAGTGCTGTCTCGCACAGCGTTGTGTTACTGAATGTGTGTACCTACCTATCGTGAAATGAATGTTGCGCAACTCTTTTATTAAAATAACAATAAATTTACATTTCACTTATAACTAACTATGACTACTATTTACAACACAAGATTATTAAATTATTAAATTAGGGCGGCGTCTGTTCTGTACACATAAGTTCAACAATGCATTAAATTAGTTTTGAAGAATTTTTACAATCATACCATATTCTTTTATTAGTTTTGGTTTAAGAATAAGTTTTGGTTAAGAATAAGAAATGTTTTCAGATTATTGGAAACCAGATGATGTACCTCTTGAAGAAGTCAGTGACAGCTCAGAAAACAGCAGTTCTCTTGTAACAAACCTTTCAATGGATAAAATTCATGCTCTTAACAAAGACATTGACACTTCAGATTCCAGTGATGATGAATATATTCCAATAGGTTAAATTATAATTTTATATTTATTCCTTAATTCAGATAACAATATGGTGCTTAAGTATGTTTAATTTATTTCAGACAAACACAAAGAACATCTGCAATCAACAGTTGAAGTAGTTGAGCCTGCTGCAACCTGGAGTAGTTCAGCTTATAATGCTTTATGGAACTTAACAGGGGTTGTATCAAATATGATTTATACAAAAGCTGAAGATAATAATAAACGGAAGAGAATTGAAAGTGTTGATTACTCTGATGGGTTTGAAATAGTTGAAAAATATGACTTAATGTAAAACCATATCATAACTTAGTTTTTTATACAATACCTATGTATTATCATTTTCAGAAGATATAATTATCAACATAAATAAAACAAATAACTATTAAATGTTACAGGGCATTGTTTCTAACCGTGACATTAATTCTTGATGTTGTTTTTTCAGAGCTTTTAAACGCACAGCATTCAATGAATTTCTTGCAACAAGAGCCTCCAGCATAGGTCTAGACATCTGTAATTAAAAATATTATTTTTCAACCATCTAATCCTACACAATCAGTTTCAAATGATGTAAAATGTTTTTAAACCAAAAACCAAAAAATAAAAAGAAAACCTTTTCAACAATATGGCCTATAGCAATTGTTCTGACTGCTGCATTATGTTGTTTGTTTATAATGTCATGGCATTCACCCTGACCAACTTCATTGTTGTAAGCCTCATCCTCTTCCTCCTTGAGAATAGCTGGTAGTTTAGTTAGTATCTGTTGAAGAATATATTCATGATATTTAAGGAGGTTAAGCTTTTATTTTGATTAAAATGTATTTTATTTATTTACTTGTGATATTTTAGCATTATTGTACTTACTTGAAAGTTGTTATCCAATAAAGAGTCATTGTTATTAACAATTTCCAAGGCTACTTCTCTTCTACTTTGGTTTGATCCTTCATTCACAGATTGAAAACAAGTAATTTGTATCTAAAAAGTAGGAATTATTACTATAGATATTTGTCATAAGTTTCAATTTATTGGAAAAACAAGTATAATACAGTTAATTTATTTACCGATGGTGCTTTTGTTGCTTGCTCTGTGAGAAAAACTGCAAAGATTATACCCACAAAGCTAGCATCCATTCTTTGATACATGTATTGAGTAGCAAGATCTATAAAAAAAATGATCTTTTTAGAAAATGAGTAGTAACTAATAACTATAAGCACTCTACACCTTTTAAAAACCTCACCAACATGTGACGGCCACACAGTAATGTGTGGATGTGAGTGGTACCATCCCACGACTCTGAGTGGTCTTCCAACTTCTGCAGCCAGCTCTTCAGCTCTTACAGTAGCTTGTACAAGTTGTTCCTCTGATATTTCAACACGATCTGGTTTTTTATCCAGTCTACGTAATATCACTGATGAAACGATAGATACGATTTCACCACCGTCGCGTACCTAAAAAAGGTGTGTGAGTGCTTAATGTGGTTCAAATTACCTACTCACACTTGGTTATTTTATCAAAATTACCTCTCCAATAAGTAATCCCATTATTTCTTCTTTTTCTGTTGAAAGAGCATGTTGCGTACAAACTAGAGCAACATCAGCAGATAATAATACTTTGCCTAGCATGATGTGTTTTAATTTTGTTTATAAACAATCATTTAGTACTCGCTCAGTGATACAAAGTACAAACCAAAAAACTGCAGAGGTTTAATTTTTTTTAGATTTTCCTATATAGGCTAGGGATGCTCGATGAACATCGATGTTCGATGATCATCGATGTTGAAAGCAAAAACATCGCTGTTTTAACATCGATATGGCTATACGAAAAATATCGTAACATCGATGTTAACGGCATCTATCATCGATGTTAACTCACGGCCTCACGCACGACACGACCAATGCAACTTACGAAACAAAATATGTCTTTTATGAACGCATCCACAAATCAAGTTAATTTTGAACGCGTATTCATTGAGGGCGCACTGGTCGTTCATTCCTTTCATTCGTACGTTCTTCGTCGTCTCCTAGCTTGCCAGATCCAAGTGATCCAACAAAACAATTTAATTTGTGGAGCGAACATTATAAACTTGTAAATGTCAAAAACTCTACGCCTTCCCCTCATGATCACGAAATTCCTTCCGAGTTGAGCTACTTTTTGAAAAATCCAGTATCTGATCTTAAACAAGATCCTATCCAAGTTTGGAACAATATCCTCGGTTCCACTTACCCGAAATTGAAAAAAATAGCGGTGAAATATTTGAGTACTATCGCGACATCAACGCCATCCGAAAGACTGTTTTCAAAAGCTGGCTCTACTCTTTATCAACAAAGAAATAGATTAAAAGGTTCTTCATTATCAAAATTACTCTTCCTTCAGTCAATTGATACAAAATATTGGAATATGTAATCATTTGATCTGTTTCTTAATAAATCCCGAACTTTTACAGTGTTTTATTTTTTTGTCAGTTATTATTGCATAAATCATCGATGGTATCCAACATCGATGTTCGGTTTTCGATAAATATCGAACATTGATGTCGGGCTTTCGATTATGACATCGATGTTTTTCGAATATCGATCATCCCTAATATAGGCTTGTTGAAAATAAATCGATGTTTTGTTCGATATATCGATATTTTTAGCCGATATATTTTGATTCGATATATCGAAACATCGATACATAATAACCAATATCGAAATTCGTATCAAAAACTTTTTTTTTTTTAATTATTAGCGGCATATCACGATCCAATTAAATTCGTAACTGGATCGATGATATTCAACATATCTATGATTTGTAAATCTGTTTCGCTGGTGAATTGGTTGTGCTGAATTCCCGAGGGCGGATCCAGGGGGGGGGGGGGGGGGGGGGTCATGACCCGCCCCTGGGCTGGGTACAGATGGACCAAACCCAGAGGGATTTTATTTAAGTACTTTTAATATTTAATATACCACGACTATATGACCCCCCCCCCCCCTGGCGCTAAAGCTGGACCCGCCCTTGTGAATTCCATTATATTCTGTGGAAGTGTGTGACTGTCTAGTCTTGTTTACGAAAGATGGCACCTGAGAGGTCCTGCAATCATTTTCATCATTCGAAAATAGGGTCTATTTTTAGGTAGATAATTTTCGTTCCATTATTATTCCGCGTGTCATCTTTCGTGAGATACTGTACTGTCATGTAGTAGTGTAGCGGCAATTTGGTACTTTGATAATTCTTTCTTTAATTATATTTTCTATTGTTATTATTACTGTGCTAGGCTGACCTAAATATATTTTTAGGAAAGTTGGTGCGATATATCGAAGCCGATATTGATATTTTCTTCAACTTTCGACATCCCTAGATTTCCCCTTTTCAGGAAAGACAAAGAGAACAATACAGCCAAGTTTTTAGTTTTATTAATCTTCGTTTTTTGACGTGACAACGTCTTAAATTAGGTTGCGGCTGGGAGTCACTTATGAAAAAGTGTAACGCTCGGTAACGTTACGATGAGTCTCTCGTGTTAAGTTTAAGTTTACATGTACAATGTTTTAGTAAACAAAATATATTTCTATAGTTAAAATTTGTGCAATTCTTATTTTCATTCATTCCTTGTTCCTATTGTGCAATTTAATTATATTCATATCAATAAATATTCTACCGAGAAAAAGACGTTGTCACGTAAAATCTTCGCCCGTAAAACCGACTTTATTTACATTAGAATGTCGGTGTGACTCATTCTAATGTTTCATTGAAAGTTTGGCACGAAATTTATCGTGTTGGCTTTTCCGGTAAGCTTCTGTGAGGTAGTCACCGGAGCACCTGGTACTGGAAAATCTCCGGTGATTTGTCGGTAAAAGTAATCGATTAAAACCACCGGAGACAAATCGGTAAATCGCCGGTAATCGTATTAGTACCTATTCGAAACAAATTAAAATAAAATTTGTTTATAAAATGTTTATAACACGTTGGGTAGGTACGTACAATAAACATTAAGCAAATATTATTTTTAATAAATAAAAAGTCTGTTTGTTATTACAATATTTAAAAATTCCAAATAATTTGAGTTAAATGTGCTCTTTTTGTTTTGTCAAGTTTTTTTATGCAAAACAAAAGCTTAATCTGATTAAATACTGATCTAGGAGAGTAGTAACTTCATTAATTAGTAGATAAAATATCAATTCGAATAAAATTGTGGTAAAATCATATAAAAGTAATATTTACAATTACTTATATCCCATCATTTATTATTTCTATTAAGATAGATTCTTTTTGAGGAAACTGTTGGTTCTCCAAATCTCAATCTCCCATGCATATAAAATTTTCTTTCCCGACTGTAAATTTATACATTTGTTCCTTTAAGTTTACAACATTTTTTATTATTACGCCACGAATTCATTTAGTATTTTATACTAACTGTCTATTCTATAATTATTTGGAGCTTTATGAGCAATCATTATGAAGTTTGCTTAGTGTGGGCAGTATTTTATTGATTTTGCTAATTTATGTATATTTAGTTATTCAACAATAAACCGTTTTCGAGTATGAGCTGGCTTGACGATCAAGCTAGCGTACCTACACCATGAAAACGGTAATTATTACCTGCATAAAATTTTTGCACTTAGGCATTATTCACGCACTATTATTAAATATCTTAGTAACAACCTCGAGTTTGATGTGGTATACGCTAGCATATCGGACACCATCAGTTATTGAGGAATCTCCGGTGATCACCGGAGATCGCACATTAACCGGTGAATTCAATCGGTTCTCAAATTTCCGCTCCGGTGCAAACCTCTGCACACTTTTTTTTAATAGTCGTGGTCCCACCAGTCCCGCAGTCCACAGTTGCCAGATCAAAAATCCGATTGAGCGCTAAAATGTTATAGTAAACGTTAGATTTTAAAAAAGCCCTAGATTATACGCTAAATTACTTTCAGTTTTTTTATAAAATGAAAAAAACGCATCGAGCGTTCCGTACAAACTCACTTTAATACCTCTACGCGTTCATGAGAAAAGAGGTAGTAACCTTTAAAATTCACCAAAAATATTTTTTATTATGATGTAACTAAAAATTTACGGTTTTTGCAATTTTTCCTTTATCTGTACTATATGGCGTTACTTCGTAACAAATTTCAAAATTCTAAGTTCACGGGAAGTATCCTGTAGGTTTTGATTCCCGTGGCAGCTTCGAAAATTTGCGGCATAATATACGTCTGTATCTTTTGATTGCATTGGCTTAGATGTTTGATTTTTTCACAGCTCCAAGGGACAGTAAAGATGAGTATTAAATATGAATTTCAGTCTGGCACCTCCACTCGTTCTTGAGAAAAACGGTCTTGACAGACGGACGGGCAACAAAGTGATCCTATAGGGGTCCATTTGAGGTAGGGTTCCGTACTTAAAACAGTGGGATAAAACCAAGGTCATGTTCAATGAACATGTTCTACCGGAACCGATTGCAATACACGGTGCCGTTCTCGAAGTGGTTCAAAAATATGTGTACCCAGTGCCGTCTTTGACCTATTGGAGGCCCTGGGCATATTAGGATAATGGGGTCCCTATGACTTCCGTTTGGTGATTTAACAGGAACTAGGGACTTTGTATTTGATCTGAGGGGGCCCCCTATCGATCGCGGGGCCCTGGGCACTTGCCCAAAGTGCCCAATGGGAAAGACGGGTCTGTGTGTACCTCGGGCAGACATTGCAGTTACGTAAAAACAACTTTGAGGACGAGGAGAATCACTGCCGGATTTAGGGGAGGGCAACCGGGGCGAAAGCACCGGGGCCTCCACAAACGGGGGGCCCCCACAATAGAGACTTCGGAAAAAAAAAATGGTTGCCTGTAAAGTCGGTTTTACGGGCGAAGATTTTACGTGACAACGTCTTTTTCTCGGTAGAATATTTATTGATATGAATATAATTAAATTGCACAATAGGAACAAGGAATTGAATGAAAATAAGAATTGCACAAATTTTAACTATAGAAATATATTTTGTTTACTAAAACATTGTACATGTAAACTTAAACTTAACACGAGAGACTCATCGTAACGTTACCGAGCGTTACACTTTTTCATAAGTGACTCCCAGCCGCAACCTAATTTAAGACGTTGTCACGTCAATATCAAAAGAAAAGATGTTTACTAGTGTTTACTTGTTGGAATTTGAAAGATTTTTTTGACGTGACAACGTCTTAAATTAGGTTGCGGCTGGGAGTCACTTATGAAAAAGTGTAACGCTCGGTAACGTTACGATGAGTCTCTCGTGTTAAGTTTAAGTTTACATGTACAATGTTTTAGTAAACAAAATATATTTCTATAGTTAAAATTTGTGCAATTCTTATTTTCATTCAATTCCTTGTTCCTATTGTGCAATTTAATTATATTCATATCAATAAATATTCTACCGAGAAAAAGACGTTGTCACGTAAAATCTTCGCCCGTAAAACCGACTTTACAGGCAACCATTTTTTTTTTTTTTTTGCTCTTTTACCTTTACCCAGGGCCGAATTTAAGGCAGGACAGGTGTGGCTGTGACCCAGGGGCCTCCACAGCTTAAGAAATAACAGCATTTCGATGGGTCAATAAGCATACAAATCCTAAGTGGCCCGGGGCCTCCACAATCCTAAATTCGGCCCTGAGGAG